GGATTGATTCGTTTATGGAAAGTAAGCATAATTTTCTTTCAAACAAAGTGTGTAATCAGGTAATTTCTCCCAAGTGAGAAAAGGAGTTTGACCCTCATTCCACATTCGAACACAACCCACAATCAGCCGAGAGGCCAATGGTCAAAATGGGCTAATCCATAAAATTTATGGTGTGATTATTTGACTATCCACAATACTACTCATGGCTTCACGTTGAATTGTTTTCTCAATCTATTTTTTTTTATTATTCCTTCTCTTGTTTAAAGAGGATTTGAAGAAGTCAAAGAAAATAGGAGGACAAAAAAAATCCCCATAACCTACTTCACCCAAGGAGATGCATTTGAAATCCTCTAATAAAATTAGTCATTCCTGGTGTTGTTGTAAATCTTCTCTGGACCCTCTCCAGGGTCTTGGAAAAATAAGTTGGAATCCCTTATAGTGCCTCAGGATGTCTCGCACTTTTACACAGCCAATTAAATTCTTTTGAATTGCGATGCTAAAGGAAATGTAACAACTGATTTTCACACAGCAAGATTGCACATACAATGAAGGAATGATTAGTTTGTCTGAGAGGTAAATATTTGCCAGGGCATCAGGAGGAACTCCCCACTCTGCTTTGGATCTTCCACATTCAGCTGAAAGGTCAAACACAACGACAGTGTCATTGTCTGATCACTGGGATGCCAGTGTAGAGTACGTGGTGAATAGACTTTCCAGTCTGGACAATGTTGTGCCCCACGATGAGGCTGTACTGGTCAAAATCACAATGAGATAGGGCGGCATGGTGGCTCAGTGGTTAGCACTGCTGCCGTGCAGTGCCAGGGACCAGGATTCAATTCCACCTTTGGGCAACTGTCTGCGTGGAGTTTGCACATTCTCCCCATGTCTGCGTGGGTTTCCTTCGGGAGCACCGGTTTCCACCTTTAGTCCAAATATGTACAAGTTAGGTGGGTTGTCGGTGCTAAATTGCCCCATAGTATCCAAGGATGTGTAGGTTAGGTGGATTAGCCATGGGAAATGTGGGGTTATGGGAATAGGGTAGGGAGTTGGGTGTGATGTTCTTTGGAATGTCAGTTCAGACTTCATGTGCTAAATGGCACTATAGGGAATCTGAAAGATGTCTACTGTGTCTGATAATGGATCACTTCAGCCATCTCCAGTTCCCCTATTTTCTATTTCAAGAATTTGCAGGAAAACCTGAATGGGTTGAGGATCTCTTCTTTTAGAAAAGAGAAGACCAAGGAGGTGATCCAATCAAAGTATTTACGCTCATGAAGGTATTTTACAAGATAGTGATAGGAAATGTTACCATGTGAAAGAGAACATATATATAATTACTAACAAATCCCCCTTTAGGATTCAGGAGAATCTCGTTTATGCAGTGGTTAAAATATAAAATTGACTACTACCAAAGTGATTGAGGAAAATGGCACAGGTGCTTTTAAGCGAAAAAGGAACAGAGGATGTGCTGGTTGGGTGAGATGAATAGAATTGAGAGTGGGCTTAAAGAGTGGTTGAGGCCAGTTGGATTGAATGATCGGTTTATGTGCTGTTAATTTGATGTAATGAGACAGGAAGAAGTGAACCTTTTGCAAAGAGAGAGGAGGAGGAGGAAACTAAAATGAGAAAAGGGATCAAAAACAGAGAAAAAGTAATATGTCCTTATCCACTTTGGGCAAATACTCAAGCACTGGTTTGGCTCACTTGAATGATTTAAGCTAACGTGGCTGCCTCATATTTCTGAATTGTCCAGATGGTAATAATCTCATCTCAGAGTTAAAATGTTTCACAATTCAAGCACCACTCTAGGACTTAAGTAGATAATCTAGGCTGGTAGCTCAGTGCAGTACCGAGGGACGTAATAGTGTCTTATGGATAGGATGAGCTTGTTTTGATGGTTGTAAGAGACTGTGTGACACTTTCTCAAAGGAGATTATGAAGTTCTCTGAGGAGTCCTGGCTGACGTTCACAACTTAGCACCTCAGCAGATTTACTGATCATTTGTCATATTTGTGAGATCTCACATTTCCTGTGAGATCTTGCTGTGCTTAAATCATCTGGGTCAGCAAAAAAAATGTTAAAGCCCTTCAAAGGGAAAGCATGTTGGGATATTCCAAAGGTGTGACAGACAGTCAATTGTAACTTCGTTCTTTTTTATGGAAAATGCAGATTTTGTGAGATCTGCTGGACAGGATACAAGGGAACACTCTGGGAACCGCACCAGACACCAATTCTGTGTCAAAAATAGAGTGCAATCGTGCTCAGCAGTTTCAACAGACCACTTTAGGAGTGAACAGATTTGGTTGTGTGTACTGGAATAGTCTCACACAAAAGTAGAAAACAGGGAATAGGAATTTGTGGGTGGAAGCCCGTTAACAACAAACTAATTGTGAATAGTTTTAAAATTCAATTTAAAATTTAACAGTGAAGATTAACAAAAATAAAAAGTTTTACTATTAACATTAACTGCAATAGTTATAATATTTAACCATTTCTGTACATAATATTTAATAATTTCCGTACATAATACAAACTCATTGTCCCATCACTCACTGAATAGCACACACAACTAGACTTCTATACAACAGAATAGTTCAATCACTGGATAAGGTAAAAACTCAGACCATTATACAATAGATCCATTGTACCATCACTCACTGGGAAAAAAAACCAAACCTGCATAGAACAGACCCACTGTTCTGTTAATGTTTACATAATTTTAAACACAGACAATAAACAATAGATCCAGGATTTGAGTAAATTTTATCATCAATCTACTGTTATATTGTTGCCTCATTAAGATAAATAAAGACCAACAGATAACAAGATAACAGATGAAGACCATTAAGCACAGCTTATGTATTCCATTATGAACTGTGCTAAAGTGGTACCTTTTAAAATCCATTTGTCATCAACCCAGTGACTTTACCTCCAAGACTGTATCCAGGAGTCAGTCCACTTGTTGATCACTTGTTGTATAAAGATTGTACTCACATCAGATCGGAATTTATGTTTTAGTTGTTTCAGTCTGAGTACCCTTGTCCTGTTCCTGACAATTTAATTTTAAAATAATTATGTTTTCTGTACCCAGTGTACAGGATCACCTTTCAGATCCCTCCTTCCTGGGTTGAAGAGTCCAATTCTTTTAACTCCAAACTTTTAATTCCAGGGGTTTTATTCATGTCTCTTTACTGCATTTCCACCAGTGCCTCAGAGTTTTCCCTTGGTGTCTCAGAGACCAGGACTAGATTGGCATATGGCCTGACATGGAGATTACCAGTGAGAATCTTTTTTGTTCTTATAATTTTGCCACAGATTTTCTTACTGAGCTTTGAAAAACATGAATCAGACAAACTGAAAGATTGTGAAAAGCCCTCACTGGTTCACCAAAGCACTCAGGACCACATTTTACAGATCAGTGTTGCCACAGAATGTCTAAACCATTAACAGCAATATCAGAACATAGGGAATCCTTGGCTTGTCCCATTGGTGTTCCAATTGGAGCTCTGGACCAACAAGATTCCATAGGGTCATCACACATTGATAGTAAATTCAGCCTGTGCTCTTGCACGATCCATATCTTCCATCTCTTTCCCATAACTCAGTTTGTTGGAAGTGGCTGTAACATTCCATCTGAGTGGATTGAAGCTGTTCTATTTCCATTGAGTTTGATATTGGTGCTTTGAGAGATTTAAGTCAGAGGACAAGTTGGATAGATTTGGCTGGTACCTTGTGACTACCAAAGATTGACAACTGATCCAACCAAAGGGTATGGAATGTTAAAGAAATTTGATAGAGTACGAGAAATTATTTCGGCTGTTGGAGGATCAAGAACATTGCAACATCAACCATATGCTTCCTTCATGATTGCAGGGTTTCACCCTTTACTGCTCATCTGCAGTATTACACAGCTCCTTCATAAGAGGGGTCAGTTAACTCAGTTGGTTGGACAGCTAGTGTACATTGCAGAGTGATGCCAAAAGTTTGGGTTCCGTTTGTAGCCCGACTAAAGTTACCATGAAGCACTGTCTGTCACAACCTCTCTCCTTGCCTGAGGTGTTGTACCCTCACATTAAATCTAATGAGAGAGTAGCCTTATGGTCTGGTAAAACTATGCTGACTTGATTTTCATTGACCATTTTAAGTGACTTGGCCAGTTTTAAAATTTTTCTTTTATTTATCTCTTACCTGTGTTTGTCTCTGTTTTGTGTGAATGGTGACTGAAAACGAATGTTTTGCGTTTTGAAACACAGACATTAATCAGTTTACCAAGTGGTTTAATTTTCTCTGCTAAAACTTTTGTGTATCTAACAAACAGGTAAGTCTTTTGATTAAGCTGGATCAATATCTGGAAATTAATTATTTGCGAAGTCTGGGATTAGTTATTCAAAAGTCTGTTTAGGAGCCATTGGAGTGACTATTTGGGGATCTTGAAAATTATTTAATTTTACTGTATTACAAATACAGAGGTAGTTTAGATTTAGTTTAGTTCTCTTTCTCTATGTTGTAACATAGGGAATGACACTCTACAATTCACCAGTTTTCCAATGAATGGAAATGGGAAACTTACTTTAGATGCTCAATGGGTAGCCCTCGTGCACTCTGAGCCAGAAAGTTGTGGGTTCATAATCCCACTCCAGAGAATCGTGCACATAATCCATGTGGGAACTTGTGGTGTAATCCAAAGGGAGTGATACACAGTCAAAGATGATCAACTTGCAGACATTAAACTGAGACCTCAGTTACCCTCTCAAATCCATGTAAAAAAATCCTGCAACACTATCTTTATGCCTAATCTTTACGCCTTAAACAATGTTATTAAGAGAACAAAATCTGGGAACATGGATAATGTCACATTGCTGTTTGTCTGCAGGTTCTGCCTCTATATTTCCTACACGTGAGCAGTGAAAAATCCTTCAAAATTCTTCATTGGCTGGTAAGCATTTTGGAATGTTCAAAGATGGTGCTATATAAATACAGGAAATCTCCCTTCCTCTTACCTCCACTTTCTCCTCCCGGAGATGGACTCTCCTGGCCAGCTGTTCCCTAGTGCCCACATCTGGGTACTTAGTCTCTTGAAAAAGGTTCTCCAGAGCTTCCAGCTGTTCATCTGTGAAGATGGTTCGGTGACGACGCTTCCTCCGGCAGTGGAGCTGGTTCAGAAGCTGCAGTTCAGTGCGGGATAGAGCCCCCAGGCTCACATAGGGCAGCACCTGGGGGGCAACTGGGGACAGGTATGCAGAAGCAGCCCCTTCTAATCCTTTCAGAACAGGAAAGAAGAAAATCAGCTCCCACTCATTTTACAACTGGATTTATCAATTAGATCATGACCGATACAGACCAATGATGAGAGTTTCACTACTGATGTACTGTCAAATTGGGAGCTAATGTGAAAACCATGCTGTGTTGTAGAGTCATAAAGTCATACAGCATGGAAACAGACCCTTTGGTCCAACCAGTCCATGCTGACCATTATCCCAAACTAAACTGGTCCAACTGCCTGCTCCTGGCCCATACCCCTGCAAACATTTTCTTATTCATGTACTTATTCAAATGTCTTTTAAACGTGACTGTATCCACAACCACCACTCCCTCCTGGCAGTTCATTCCACACACGAACCTCTCTCTGAGTGAAAGTATTGGCCCTCATGACCTTTTTAAATCTTTCCCCTCTCACCTTAAAAATATGCTCCCTTGCTTCGAACTCCCTCAACCTAGGGAAAAGACCCTTGATATGCACCTTATCCAAGCCCCTCATGATTTTATAAACCTCTATAAGGTCACCCCTCAACCTCCTATGCTCTGTGAGTGGACTTAGTGTGAGTTTGGCTAGAAAGTGTTCAATGAGCTCAAGTTTATGGAGTCTAGAATGTGAGAGACTGCCTGGAGGTGTATTGGAATTGTCAAATTTAAAGGAGATAAAATCATAGACAAAAGCTTTGAATTGCAGATCACAGAATTGTCACAGCACAGAAGGAGGCCATTCAGCCCATCACAGATATGCAGAGGCAGGGCACAACCAGGTGATGATACAAAGCTGGAAGTAGGCATTCTTACTGACAGTGTGAATACAAGGTTGGAAGGTCATCTCAGGAGTTGGAGTGGTCCAGGACAGCCCCAGACAGGAGGCAGGAAGAGGGCTAATGTTGGTGGCTATGGAATACAGTTGGTAGTGGGGACAGTTTTGAGAGAATCTCTTGTCATTCAACTCTGAATGTCAGGTAAGCAGCAATGACAAATCAAAGGCAGTGAAGAAATGGTGGAATGTGGTGCTGAGGTAAAGCTCAGGAGTAGGTTTCCATGTATATTCCCAGAACTAAAACCCTCATTACAGATGGGGTGGTAGCCAGTACAGACACTGCATAATTCATGGCTTTGACAGTCTGGCAGCTTCTACAATGAGTGGCTGATCCACAATGTCAGCCCCTCTCCTGTATAGGTACATGACAGATGCCCACACCGTCTACTTCCACCCCACAGCTGTAACCTAGGAACTGATTTCCATCCTTCGATAACACAAACTGGGAATCATGATTCAACTTGGAATGATGTGGGGTAAAACTAAGTCAGAGCTGTAAACTAAAATAGTGTATTCTAATGTATCCTTACCAGTCTCAGGCCAGTTAACCATAACCCTCATCTCTTCTGTGAATCATCTCTGAGCCCAGCCTGCTAAATAAATATACATCTCAATAAAAGCTGGATGACTAACTGCTCACCTTCCGCTTGGTGACCTTACAAACTTTGGGACTCACTATAGAACTTAATAACTTCAGAGCGTGAACATCTCTGTCCGTGTCTATTACCCAGCCCCACATCCCAGGTCCTCTCATGGTCTGAGGAAGGGTCACCAGACCCGAAATGTTAACTCTGTTTTCTCCTTCACAGATGCTGCCAGACCTGCTGAGCTTTTCCAGCAACTTTGTTTTTGTTCCTCTCATGGAATGTGTTGCTTTCAGCCCAGCCAACTCATTTTCACCTCCTCATAGTCTCCATTATCACCTATCTGGCTTTTCTTATTCTCTGGTTTATCATTAACAATCTTTTTGTTTTGCCCATCTTTTTCCCTTCTGTTTCTCCACCTATCTGCTCATTCCTTCCCTGACCCTATTCCCCACTGGCCCTGAGAGCAGCATAAATATAATCTTTTCCTGGCTGCTACCAATTCTGAAGAAGGGTCACTAGATTTGAAATATTAACTCTGTTTTCTATCCATGATGCTGCCAGACCTGCTGAGTCTCGCCAGCAATTTCTGGTTCTGTCTATACCCATCCCAGTCACGTGTGGAACCACATCCAACTTAACAGAGATGGAATATTTTATGAGTGACCTCCACAAAAAGAAAATGAACAAAGCTGTCTTTCTAAAACAGAGCAGCGCTGACTCTGTCTGCTCAGTTCTCAACTATTCTAAAAGCTTGCCCATAGCTGATATAGGACAAATAGACAGAGACCCTCCTTAAGTAACTGAGAGAGATTAACAAATTTCCTTGCTAGCATCACACTTCCCAAATCTTTGAAAGATTACTTGCCAATACTTCCATAAATTTCCCACTCACCTGCTTTAAAGCCACCAGGTAGAAATTATCATATTTCTGAGATTTCTTTCTAAGTCACAATATTTTCTCCATTACTATTTTCTTATTTTTAAGTTAAATTAATTGAGTATGATTTGTTTTTAAGTTCCTATTCTATCACTGGTACCTTACACTCTTCTGTTATTGTGGAAATGGATGTTGAACTATCATGCTAAAATTCTGGTATGGCCCCTTGTGGTTTGTTACAAAATTATATTTATCTTTGTTTACTAGAGTCACATCTCTCCTCACTATATCCTTCTTTACAATGTATTTAATAAACTTATACTTCTGGTTTCTTTATTATGTGTGAATTTCCCTCTCTCTGCACCCACTTCCACTGCAATATTTTCTTTGAATCTCTTCGCTGCTTTCTATAGCTCTCCTAGTTTTCTGGATTACTATTTTACTTGCCTTTTCCATAGGCCACTAAGACCTCGCTGAAGAGATTGATTTTTCTCTCAGAGGGTTGTTAGTCTGAGGAATTATCTTCACAAGGTAGTGAAGGCTGGCTCTACAAATTCATTCAAGAGATAGATTTCTGATTTACCAAGGAGTCAAAGTTTATGAGGGGGCAGACTGGAGGGTGAAGCTTAGACCACAACCTGATCAGCCATGATCCTACTGAAGGAGCCTGAAGGGCCATTTGTACCTTTCCAGGATCTAAGTCCTGCATCATATTGCTTTTATATTTGGACTTGCCTCATATATTGACAGTGATTGCTTGACTGAAGAAGTGGAAGGTTTGCTCTTTAGGACCTTGGGCTCTATCAGATCATAAGGTAAAGGAGCAGAATTAGGTCATTCAGCCCATTGAGTCTGCTCCACCATTCAATCATGGCTGACATGTTTCTCAACCCCATTCTCCTGCCTTCTACCATAACCCTCAATCACTTTAAGTGATCAAGAACCTATCTATCTGTCTTAAAGACACTGAATGACACTATACTGTATCTAAATGCTCTCCTGTTTTTCTATAGGTTTATCTGTTAACAGCTCAGCCTAGTCTAACATGATCAGTTTATGTCTAAGAGTCACCATGACCAAAGCTTAAAACCTGGCCTTGTCTGAGGTCCCTCTCCATTACTTGCTTCACTCATTACTGCCACCAGATTGTTGACAATTCTGGTTCCTTTCTTATGATTAATTCTGAAATGGCCTGTTCTCCTTTCAGTTCTAAAAGCATTGTTTTAGGCAACTCTCCTGCTAGCAGTCAATTCCACACATCACAGCCTTTCCTAGTTAATCATCATCTACTTCCAGTGAATGCATGAGACAGTCGGGAATGAAGGATTCACTACTGGGGAGGCGGTGGTGTAGTGGTAATGTCATTACCTAATAATCCACAGATCCCAAGGCTAATCCAGTGGGAACATGGATTCAGAAATCGATGACAATCCAGAATTTCCTAGCCATTGTCATCTTGTTCATTAACGTCCAGGGAAGGAAATCTGTTTTCCTTACATGGTCTTGCTTGTGGTCAGTTTGGTCTATGTGACCTGGTCCAAGTGACTCCAGACCCACAGCAATGTGGCAGACTCTAAATAGCCTGGCAAGCCATTCAGTTCCAGTGGCAATTAAGAATGGGCAATAAATGTTGGCCCAGCCATTGATGCCCACTGTCCATGAGTCTGGGTCTGTGTGTGTGTGCATGTGTGTGTGTGTGTGTATGAGTCTGTGTGTGTGTGTGTGTATGAGTCTGGGTCTGTGTGTGTGTGTTTGTGCGTGTGTGTATGAGTGTGTGTGTGTGTGTGTGTGTGTTTGTGTGTGTGTGTGTATGAGTCTGTGTGTGTGTGTATGAGTCCGTGTGTGTGAGAGTGTGTTTGTGTGTGTTTGTGTCTTTGTGCCACTGGGTGTGTGGGTGAGTCTGTGCGTGTGTGCGTATGTGTCTGTCAGTGGGTGTGGTGTGTGCAAGGGTGTGTGTGTGTGTGTGTGTGGTGATCTGTCTGTGTCATTGGATATGTTTGGGTGTGGGTCAGTCTCTGTGTGGGGGGATGTGTCTGTGTCTGTGGGTCAGTCTGTGTGTGGGG